ATGTTAAAGTACAAACCACATATTGTTGTTTAAAGTACAAAGTATGTACTAATGTTAAAGTACATATTAATGTTAAAGTACAAAGTGTATATATTAATGTTAAAGTACAAACCACATATTGTTGTTTAAAGTACAAAGTATATACTAATATTTAAAGTACAAACAATACACTGTTGTTTAAATTATAAAGTATATACCGTTTAAAGTACAAAGTATATATATTATTGTTAAAGTACAAAGTGTATATATTAATGTTTAAAGTATAAAGTATATACTAATGTTTAAAGTACAGAGTCTATACTGTTGTTTAAAGTACAAAGTGTATACTAATGTTTAAAGTACAAATGATATACTATTGTTTAAAGCATAAAGTATATACTGTTGTTTAAAGTATAAAGTATATACTGTTGTTTAAAGTACAAAGTATATTTGGGAAACAATTTGAACTCTTTCTGTTTAAACAACCCTTTAGGTCACAATATGGCGTCTACTGAGATGAAACAAAATGGCGGCGCAGAAGCCCAAGCACCGGTGGCGGGTATCTTTCTGGAGAAGAGCGGGGAGAAGATAAGCATTTATCAAGCCATGAAGAAACGTTTGCTGAGAGCAGGGACGGCTTTAGCTCTGCTCGAAGCACAAGCTGCCACCGGGGGCATCATCGACCCTGTAAACAATCGAGTACTTCCTGTTGTAGATGCTGTTAGAGAGGGCATTGTAGGACCAGAGATGAGGGAGAAACTCCTCACAGCTGAGAAAGCAGTTAGTGGCTATGAAGACCCCTACACCAAACAACCCATCTCTGTCTACCAGGCTATGCAAAAAGATCTGCTCCCCAGAGATTATGGTCTGAGGCTGCTGGAGGCGCAGATATCCACCAAGGGTATCTTTGATCCTGTGGAGAAGAAAAACGTCTCGGTTGATGCTGCAATCCAAAAGGGCCTCTATGAAAAAGGTTTTCTCAGCAGCCAGATGTCAGAGCTTAAAGTGTTTTACAATCCCAGCACGCAGGAAAATCTCAACTACCAGAACCTCCTGGAGACGTGCACCGTGGATCAAAACACGGGCTTGGTGCTGCTTCCTGTCTGCATCGCCTTCAAAGGGCTCCGCAAAGGCATTTCCTCCAGCGAGCTCTTTGAGTCAAAGATCATTGACAAGAAAACCTATGATGACCTGCAAAAGGGGAACACCACAACACAGGATGTGATGCTGATGGAAACAGTGAAAGAATACCTGGAAGGCAAAGGCAGCATTGCAGGCATAGCTGTCCTCTCCTCCAATCAGAGAATAAGCATTTATCAGGCAATGAAGCAAGGCATAGTAATGCCGGGAACGGCCCTGGTCCTTCTGGAAGCTCAAGCTGCTACTGGCTTTGTGATTGATCCTGTCAAAAATAAAAAATACACTGTGGAAGAAGCTGTCAGACACAAAGTCGTTGGCCCAGAATATCACACAAAGCTGCTTTCTGCTGAGCGAGCAGTGACTGGATACAAGGATCCCTATTCTGGAAATATCATATCCCTATTTCAGGCCATGTCCAAAGACCTGATTGTCAAAGACCATGGAATTCGGCTGCTAGAAGCACAAATTGCCACAGGTGGAATAATAGACCCGATCAACAGCCATAGGCTTCCCACAGCAGTGGCGTTCAAGAGAGAGTACTTTGATGAGAAAATGAATGCCATATTGGAAGATGCTGGAGATGACACAAAAGGTTTCTTTGACCCAAACACTGAGGAGAATCTGACCTATCTCCAGCTGATGGAACGGTGTGTCAYTGATCCTGCCACTGGGCTGTGCCTCCTACCTCTATATGATAAATCAGGCAGAACAAGCTCTAGCTTCATTGATTACCAAACCAAAATGGCTTTCAAGACAGAGAAGGTCGAAGTGAAATATGGGAAATACATGGGGATGACAGTGTCTCTGTGGGAGCTGCTGATGTCAGAGTACTTTGACGAAGAACAAAGGAAAGACATATTTCAGAGATACAGAGAAGGGAAGTTGAACATTAAGACAATCACAACATTGATTCTGGAAATCATAGAGAAATCTGTTAAAACAACAAAAGCCACATTTGAAGGCATCAGAGAAACCGTTACGGCCAATCAGCTCTTGGAGGCAGACATCATCAGCAAGGAAGTAATGGAGGACCTGCAGAAAGGAAAGAAGTCTGTAAAGGATGTCATAGAGGATGAAAATGTAAACATGTACTTAAAGGGGAAAGACAGCATTGCTGGTATTATACTTCCAGATTCTCAGATCATGACCATCTACCAAGCAAGACAAAATAGAAAGCTAATGCCAGGAACCGCTCTGATTCTTCTGGAGGCCCAGGCGGCAACAGGGTTTATTATTGACCCCATAGGAAACAGGAAGTTTTCAGTGGATGATGCTGTCAAAGCAAGGATTGTTGGGCCTGATGTCTGTCAGAAGCTGCGATCGGCAGAAAAAGCTGTCACTGGGTACAAAGATCCACATGACGGAAAGATAATTTCTTTGTTCCAAGCAATGCAAAAGGACCTGATTGTCAAAGAGCATGGGATTCGGCTTCTGGAGGCACAAATCGCCACTGGTGGGATCATTGACCCAGTGAACAGCCATCGCATCCCTGTCCATGTGGCCTACAAGAGGGGGTACTTTAATGAGGAGATGAATCAGATCCTGAGTGATCCATCTGATGACACCAAAGGATTCTTTGACCCCAACACCCTTGAGAATCTGACGTACCTGCAGCTCCTGGCCAGATGTGTCACAGATCCCAGTACAAACCTGTGCCTCTTGCCTCTGAAGAGCAAGGGCAGGAAAATTAACATAGATGACAGCATGAGGGAGATTTTCCAAAAAACAGTGGTTACTGTCAAGTACGGCAGATTCAAGGGAAGGCACACAACACTGTGGGACCTGATCAATTCAGAATATCTATCAGAAGAAAAACGCCAGGAGTTTTTCAAACTCTTCAAGTCCAGGAAAATCACGATTGAGGAACTCACAGTTATCATCATAGAGATCATTGAGAGTAAGGAGATAAAACAACAAGCAGAGCTGAACTTTGAAGGTCTCAGAGGAGCTATTTCCATTGTGGACCTTCTGGAACTCAAAATCGTCGATGAGAAAGTATACAACAGTTTGATTGATGGAAAAATGACAAGCGCCGATGTGATGAAGATGGACAGTGTGCGAGCTTACCTGCAAGGAACAAGTTGTGTAGCGGGGTTAATACTGCAACCATCCAATAAGAAAGTAAGCATCTATGAGGCACAGAAAATGGGCATTCTTACACCCGGAACTGCCCTTTGTCTYCTTGAAGCACAAGCAGCTACAGGATTCATCATAGATCCTCTGAAGAACAAAAAACTTACAGTGGAAAAAGCTCTAAAAGAGAATGTGATTGGTCCACAAATGTATGAAAAGCTTCTATCTGCAGAGAGGGCTGTCACTGGTTACATAGATCCTTACTCAGGTCAAAAGATTTCGTTATTCCAAGCTCTGAAAAAGGATCTCATTGTCAAACAGCATGGCATTCGTTTACTCGAGGCCCAACTTGGCACAGGTGGTATCATTGATCCCTTGTTGTGCCTTCACTTGCCTCTAGAGTTTGCATACAAGAAAGGATATTTTGATGCAGAACTCAATCAAATCTTAGAAAACCCAAATGACGACACAAAGGGCTTTTTTGACCCAAAGACTCAAGAAAACCTGACATACATGGAAATGTTAAACAGATGTGTGAAAGATAAGGAAACTGGACTCTTTCTCTTACCACTAAATGACACACCAAAGGCAACAGCAACAAAGGAAAAAACTTACACTGTAACAGAAATAAAACAAGAGTTCCAAAAGACAATGGTAAACGTTAATGTGGGGCGGTATGCAGGAAAATCAATTTCTCTTTGGGACTTGATTCACTCTCGTTACTTCACTGAAGATCAGCAACTAGAGCTCATTGAAAAATACAGAACAAAACATATCAACATCCAAACAGTGATTACGTTGGTGCTTTCCACGATTGAGAAGCTAGAGAAGAGTGAAAGTCTGAAAGTGATGGGGCTAAGAAATTATGTCTCTGTGCAACAACTACTGGATTCTGACATTATTGATGCCAACACATTCAAACAGATTGAAGTAGGAAAACTCAGCGTTGATGAAATGGCCCAAAGTGAACCTGTGAAAAAGTACCTGAAGGGATCAGGAAGCATTGCAGGAATCAAAGTTTATCCAACCCAGAAAGTAATGAGCATATACCAGGCAAAACAGGAAGATCTATTGACTCCTGGCATTGCGCTATTACTGCTTGAAGCACAGTCTGCAACAGGATGGGTCATTGATCCTATCAACAACAAGTTCTTTTCTGTGGATGAAGCTGCAAAAGAAGACTTAATTGGACCAGATATCCACGAGCAACTTATTTCAGCTGAGCGTGCTGCTATTGGCTATAAAGATCCATACACAGATGCAACAATATCCCTGTTTGCAGCCATGAAAGAAAAACTGATACAAAAAAATGATGGCCTGCGTCTTCTTGAGGCACAGATGGCAACTGGAGGAATCATTGACACAAATCAAAGTCACAGACTACCAACACATGTTGCCATTCAAAGGGGCTATCTTGATGAAGAAACTCACAAAATCTTGGTGAACCCCACTGACGAAGCAAAAGGTTTCTTTGACCCTAATACCAATGAAAATCTGTCCTACCTTCAGCTCATAGGTCGATGTGAAAAAGATCCCAAAACTGGGCTACTTCTCCTACCGCTACATAAAGATGAGGGCAAGGTGTTTCACACAGATGAGCAAGTGGAGTTAGCGTTCAAAAACAAAACAGTTACCATGAATATGGGTAAATTCAAAAACAAAGAAGTGACAGTGTGGGAGGTGTTGGTCTCTGAATACATTTCGAAAGAAAAACGCRACCAGCTCATTCAACAGTACAAAACAGGAACCATGAAAATAGAAGAAATCATTGAAATACTCTCTGTTATCATCTCAGAAATATCATCCAAAGAAAGAAAGTTTAAAGGCCTAAGAAAGCAAGTTTCAGCAAGTGAGTTGTTTGAGTCAAAAATTATATCCAAGGAACTTTTTAGCCAAATAATACACGGTGAAGTAACTGAGGAAAATGTGGCCAAAATGGAATCCATTCAGAAGTACCTCGGAGCTACAAACTGTATAGCTGGTGTAAGAGTTGAATCTTCAAAAGAAGTCATCAGCATCTATGAAGCCAAAAGGCGAAACCTTCTGACCCCTGGTACCTCTCTGGTCCTGCTTGAAGCCCAAGCTGCCACTGGATTTGTCATTGACCCAGTAAAGAATAAGAAACTGTCTGTGGAGGAAGCTGCAGCTCAAGGAGTGGTTGGCAGTGAGTGGAAGGAGAAACTGCTTTCAGCAGAAAGAGCCGTTACAGGATACAAAGACCCCTACACTGGAAACACAATCTCTCTGTTCCAAGCCTTGAAGAAAGACCTCATTGTGAAGGATCATGGTATCCGTCTTCTTGAAGCCCAAATCGCAACAGGAGGAATAATTGATCCGGTCCACAGTCACAGAGTACCTGTACAAGTAGCATACCAAAGAGGTTACTTTGATGAAGATATGAACCAGGTTTTATCTGACCCAGGTGACGACACCAAAGGTTTTTTTGACCCAAACACTCAAGAAAACCTCACCTACCTTCAACTGATTGAGAGGTGCTTCACAGATC